GGGTGATTCTCAGTGCCCATGGGAACAGCCCCAGTACCCAGTGCCCAGCCCGGGTAGGACCCAGGTGTAGCTTGCCAGTTACAGTGGTTAGTCTCTTAGTAACTGATCACAGTAGTGCTTAGGCCTGCTCTTACTAAATCCTCATAGCACCTTAAAAGAAACCCTCCTTTGCTCCCCACTTTATAGCTAAGGACCTGAAGGCTGAAGGCCATAGCTAAACTTGTACTTGAGAACGATGGTTCACTCTGATAACTTGATGACCAAGCCTGAAAGCTGGGCAGGGGCAGCAAGGTGCAGCAAGCAGGAGAGAAGCTGGCACTCCTGGCTAGAAGAGAAAGCATGTCCCTTGGACCCCAATCTGCCTTCCCACGTTGTTCAGGATGCCCCTACAGTAAGACATGAACCCAGAAAGGTAAAGGGAAGATCTCAGATGGCGGAACAGGTCATGTGCAACTTCAAAGCATGCCGTTCACACTGACTATGATGAAAATAATAATCTGGCCTCTGAGTTGGTTGAGACGCGAGCCCTATGAGGGGCCACACTCTGTAGGCCCTTGAAAGCTAAGCCTCTGCACACCTTGCCGCAGGACATGTCACAGGCAGTGGGTGCTCCACAGTCTATTGTGACGCTCAGCTCTGCTGCTCTGGGATGAACACAGGGTAAGTGACCCATCACCAGGCTGTGTTTCTTCTGTCCTGCTTGTGGGGATGGGAACCCTGTTGTCTAGGAGGCAGAGGGGTTATCTGATGTTCAGCTGGCCTCAGAAGCATCCCTTCCTCCCCATGGCAACCATCAGCTTGGTTCATGGATCTGAGTAGTAGAACCTTGGCTTCTAATCCCAGCAGCTCAAAAAATAACAATAAAAAAACCACTGAGCAGACAAGCCCAGAGTCCCTCTTCTTGCTGAGCACAGAGAACGGGGAGCCGGCTGTGTACAGAGTAGTGGGGCTTTGCTCCGGGAGCCGGGCTCAGAGCCAGGCTCTGGCCTCCTAGTGAGAGCTGCCAAGGCAGCCTTGGCTCGTGGGTATTAAGGGTTTCTTAGAGCTGGAGATGATTTGTCCCACTTCTCGGGATGAAAATAACTGCCCGACTTGAGGGTAATTACATGGCTTGGGCTCCCACACAGTGCAGAGAGCCCCCCGATAATGACTATGCAAATGCTGCTGTTGGCAGCTGATGCCTATTTCATGCCTCAGAGAGTCTTCTGGACAGGCAGCCTGAGCCATCAGCGACTAGACAACCTGAATCTGCTCATGTGAGCAGAACCTTCTAGAAACACTTCCCCGACAGGGCCGTAATGGCCGCTTCCCTCCCCCAGAACCACCTGTTAGGCTCAGGACACCATTGCCAGCCCAGACACAAGCTGGGCCTACGGTGGTCAGTGGCTGTGTTAGTAATTTCTTATATAACGTCTGACAAAGCCCCTTAGGTTGGCTTCCAGGGTGCAGTCCATCACGGAAGGGAAGGCATGGCGGCCGGAGAGAAAGGTGGCTGGTCACATCGCATCCACAGCCAGGAAGCAGAGCGATGAACCCTGGTCCTCAGCTCTTTCTCTGTTTTATTCAGTCCAGGACCCTGGCCTATGAGATAGTGCTGTCCGCATTCACAGTCAGTCCTTCCCACTTCAGTTAAACATCTCTGGAAATGTCCTCATCGGCCTGTCCATGGTGATTCCAAATCCAGGCAGCAAGGGAGAGAACTATCTCAGCTGGCTTTGCCATGTCTCCTCCAGTAGCCCTGGGCAAGAACCACCTACTAAGCGGTTCTGCCAAGCTCTGTAGGAGGCACCTGCATGTGGGCAAAGCTTCCTGTTGTAGCAAATGTCTGTCCCCCGGGGTTAGCACTCAAGGTAGTCTGTGGTGGTCTCAGATGGAGAGCCTGTATTTTCTTTCAATTTATTTGTTTGTGTTTTATGTGAGTATTTTGACTACAAGTAAATCTGTGTGCCACATGTATATCTGGTATCTGAGAAGGTTAGAAGGGCATTGGATCCCCTGGAACTGGAAATACAGATGGCTATGAGTTGCCACGTGGGCGCTGGGAACTGAACCTAGATCCTCTGTAAGGGCAGCAAATGCTTTTTATCACTGAGCCATCTCTCCACCCCCAAGACTGTCTTTGAACTGAGGTAGGAAACTGCCAAGGATGTCAAAGTCCTGGAGGAGTTCCCCAGGGTTCACTGTGTGTCAGGCTTTAGGAAGAGAGTCATAAACACCAGGTTCCATTCCTGCTTTCTTGGGCCTAGTGTTCAGTAGGCAGACAGATAGATATAAAACCTGTAAGTTCCCAGTTATACTGGTGTGGCTGGGATATGATTGTCCATGAGATGCTGGGATCCATGAGTATGTATAGCAGGAAGGGGCCAGAGAGTTTGAGTGAGATCTAAAGGATGAGGAATGGGGCACATATGTATACACGTGGATGTGTGTATGTATACTATTGCACATGTGCTCATATGCATGCTAGGGAGGTGCCTAGATTATGGTGCATAGATGCATGTATGCCTGAATTGGTGGATTTATGCAAGGATGGAGAGGTAGTTGAATCTTCCAGGCAACCAGAATAGGCTATGCAGAAGCACAGCAGTCAGAGGAAGAGCGGTTATTGTAGCTGACACAAACTACTGTTGCAGAAAATGTTAGGAGTTCAAGAAATGGAGGTGGAGAGCCAGATGGGCAGGATTAACTCACAAGCCCTTCGCTGCTCAGCTTCGGGAGGAGCAAGTCTCCAAACCACAATATGAATGGCGTCCCGTGAAATTGGGCAAGGCAGTGACCTGAAGCAGGAATTGTATCTTGAAGACCTTGCATCCAAGGCAGGGCTTGAGGATGCTATTCTCAGAGCAGTGGGGGAGGGGAGACAGAGAAAGGTTTGAGCATTTTGTGATAAAACTGTTTTCCATTTGCAATGCCTGAAAGCAACACTGTCCCCTAGAACTTTCTATGAAGATAGGCACGCATGACTTCTATTCTTTCTACTTTGTACCCCGTGTGGCTGCTGAGCAGAGTGATGGACACTGGGTTCTATGTGCTTGTTAATTCCTATTGAAATAGCCGCCATGGCCTGATGTGGCTCGTGGCCTCCATAGGGGGCAGTGCAGCTGAAAGATTCCGCTGGGACCAGAAGTCCTGTCACACCTGTGCAGTGATTCTGGGTTCAGGCCTCAACTTCCCCTTCACACAGGCCTCTCTGTCCATGCTGAGGTCAGGGTGCAGTGGGCTGTGGTCTAGGCGCAGGGTCTTTGAGGATGGAGTGAAGTGGCTACCTCACCCCCTACTCCTTGAAGACTGCCCTGGTGTCTATCCCTGTCTTTTTCCTGGCACCTTTGAGACTGTTGATTGATGGTTGTCCTACAGAATGCCACAGCTTTCTCCTAAACATGCTTCCTCCTCCAGAGGCGCATTATTGAGGAGACTATTTAGCCCTGCCTGGCTGCATGAGCCACTGACTAGTGACACTGGCTTCCTTAGGTATTTGGTATGTGGCCTTGTCTCGTTGTTACTATGGATGGGAGGAGGTTCAGCAGGGCATAGTCAGCCTGCTCCTCTCTCTTGCAAGGTTGCATGTCCCTTCTTCATTAGCATCATGACAGTGACCTTTCCCGTAAAACAGTGTGCATATACAGCTCATCTATGTGAGCTGCCCCTTGTCTGGCCCTCTGGCCCAGAATCACAATTTCCTACTCACTTCCACCAGGGAAGCTGGGTCCAGGGAGGAGCTGGGGCAGCCCTGTTGGCTAGGGCCATTTAGTGTTTTAGAAAGCCTAGAAGAAAGAGCTGTGGACCCCAGTGGACCCTGCTGTTCACCTTATGAGCAGCTTCTTCTGCGGAGAGAGACATAGCTGAAGCCTGGAATGAGGGAATCCCTCTGTGCTAAACAGGGTGAAGCCCCCATTGCTGAGACAGACAGACAGGCAGACAGGCCAGCCTCTCCCTTTTATCCTTTGCACATGGCTTCTAGCTGATACTGAGATTCTGGGTGAGACAAGACAAAGATAAAGGACACTGAGGGGAGGGGAGAGGGGCTCCCTAATACCATGTGTATACTCCGGTTTTCCTCACTTCCCAGACCCACCCACCACCTCTGGACACACACACAAATACATACATGTACACATGCATGTGATGGGCATATGGGCACCTAAAGTCTAGGACAGAGATAGTAAAACCTCTACGACCCCACCCCCCAAGGCTCAGAAGAGCCAAAGAAGGCATTTGACACCCCATTGGCAAGCCATCAAGGGTGCAGGCAGGATACAGCTATGGTAATAAAACCAGGCATAGCCAGAAATACCTACAAACCATGAGCTGGCCACTATGCTGAGTCCCTGACATAGCTTACTTGAAGCCATATAATCCCGTGTGAGGTAGAGTCAGCATCATTTCCATATACAGGAGAGGAACGTGTGTTGACCATGCTTGCCCTGTCAGGAAGACTCCAGGGTGTGGCTTTGGGGACAAAAAAGTGCTCCATATTGACAACCCATGCCAACTTCTCATCTCAGCCAGGAGTAGTGTACCCCCTGTGGTCCAGCTCTTCTGGATGGAAGCTGAGAATTGTAAATTTGAGACCTCCTTGGGCTGCATAGCAAGTTCCGGAGTAGCCTGGGGCTACTTAGCAAGACTTTCTCTCAAAACAACAACAACAACAAAAAGGCCAGAGATGTAGCTCAGTGGTAGAGTATTTGCTTAACATGCACGAGGCCTCATCTCCAGCACTGCCAAGAACAAAGGCCCCAACAGCTCAGATCAGTGATTGGCCCAGAGGAAGACATGACAGTCGTCAGCCCTTGTATGTGTGACCCAGGATAAGACAGGCAACTGAAAACCTAGGTTCTGTGCCAGTTTCCTTGTCTGTGAAACGGGGACACCGTTGACATCCTGTTATCCTTCTGTCGGGAGTAAACAAGACCATTTGTGTTGGGGTCTAGGGGAGGGCGTCTTGCTGGGTTCCCACATATGTGTGACAGGAACCTTACTCCCGTCCCTTCCTCTTGCAGTACGCTACTTCCTGAAGAACAAGGTCAGCCCTGATTTGTGTAACGAGGATGGCCTCACAGCCTTGCACCAGGTAAGTAGTCCACTCTGGGGTCCCCTGGCCTCTCCGCTCCCTGATCACTGGTGCCCAAATCCTCAGGGAAGAAGGGACTATGAGAGAAGGACACAGAGAAGCCAGCTGAAAGGCTTTTGTGCTTTGGAGATGTGTGTATCTGTCACAAACAGGCTCTTAGAGCCCCTGGTGCACATACACACGTGTACAGCGACAGGCTCTGAGGACAGGGGTTCTTTGTTCTCTGTGTCCTCACCGCCAGCAGAGAAAATTTGTGTCGAAGTTGAAAATTGACAAAGTGCATTCACAGCCACCAGGACATCCCACTCACCCCGAGGACAAAGCTGAGTGACTTCTGTTGTCTAAGGTCACGTGGCCAAGACCTTTGGCCAGGAAGCACGTGCTATCAAATGCATGGAGTGTGGTGACAGCTCTCCCTGGCCGGCCCCACCCACATGGAAGCTTTGCCTTCCACAGCCTCCTAACTGGCCCCAATGTTCAGCTGAGTCCTGCCATAATTGCTTCTCCAAAGGCTGAAAGCTTGGAGTTCTCTAGTATCTTCTTCCTAACCCTGAGGGAAAAGGACAAACCTTGGCTATTCTGCACAAGACCTTTAGGGCCTGCCCTGTCCTGTCTCTGCCCCTCCCCCAGCTCCCAGGCCGGGTCACTGCCTTGTCCCACACTGTGGTCTCCTTCCCACCGTTTGTTTTACATTGCTCTGTGTGTTCACTTATTAGCTCTTGTCCCCACAGAGAGCTTGAGAGCTGGGCGGTGACAGAGGCACTCTAGTCTTCCACGTGACCACTGTTAGGACTCAGGCTTATGCTGGTCCCTGTCACCTGGCAGGATGAACCCAGGCAGTATCCTGTGGCTGCTATGTCACTATGTATGTACGCAGGGGCAAAACGTCTCTTTAAGAGACAATCTCCACCCATTCCCGCTCTCTTTTTCCCACTGCTCTTCTGAAGAGGCAGGCTGGTCCTTGCCTCTTCTTTCTCTCTACATCTCTCTCTCCCCTCCACCACCCCCTTTATCTTAATAAAACTCCCACACGAGCTCTGCCTGCATGGCGTGTCTGTCCCTCACCTCCCATGGACTCTCACCCACTGTGTGGCCCCTTGGCCCACCAAAGTCTCTCTCTGCTGTTTTACCACAATTCCTCCTCTCTAATCATTTGGCACTAGGGTGGCACTCTGAGGTCCCCTCACCAGCCTGCCTCTTCTATCTCTTGTGTTCTGGTGTGTCTTCCTGTGCTCATATACAGTAGGTACTTAACATGTGCATGTTGAAGTCGGTGAATGGCCGCACTGAAGCTTCCCTGTGCCGTCACCGGAGTTTGTGAACAGACAGACTTGAGTGCAGCCTGGTGGGCGGTAGCCAGGCAACGGGAGTTCCATGGACAGAGACAAGCCACACATCCTCTGCCCGTAAGATGCTGGGACAAGGCCTTGCCCACAGCCTTCAGCTCTGAGCCTAAGGGCTGTCTGCATGGACTCTTCACCCTCACTGTCCTCCAGGGCCTCAGGCACCCCCACTTAAGCCACTGCCTTTGTAACCTCATGGAAATCACCCAAACCCCAGCTTCATTCACTCTGGAATGCTGAGGCTGCTCCACAGGCAAGACCCTCAGTCCACGCCAGATTTGAGACCTGGAAGGCAACTTCTGAGGCTGGGCAGCATTAGCTAGGGGCATAAGGATAGAATGGCCATCAGGATAGAGTCAGATGTGAGGCCTGGAACTGTCATTCACTAGCATGTGACCTTGGACAAGTTCCTTAAGCTCTCTGTGCCTTGGTTTCCTCACCTATTAGAAAGAAACAATATCCATCCCCTTGTGTTGGAGAGAGGATGAAATGATCACCTGGGAAACCCTCTGTGAGCAGCACAGAATATGCAGTCATCCGGTGGGAGAGAAGACACTGCCGCTAAGAGCACATACTGCTCTTGCAGAGGACCCAGGTTCAATTCCCAGGTTGTAAGAGTCAGACTTACAACCACCTGTATGTAACTCCAGTCCAGGTGATCTGGCTCCCTCTGCTGGCCTCCATGAGCTCCTACATGCATATATGCACATACCTACACATACACATAATTAAAGATTTTGAATAATTTTTTAAAAGATTTGAGTTATGATTACAGTTTATCACGTGGCTACTTCAGTGGTCTATCCCTCGTACAGACCCTCTAAAACATTGGTGTTTCCATTTTACATCTCAAAAAACTGAGGCTCAGGGGCAGCTCTATTCTGTAAAACTTTCCACAAAGATGGGAATGAATGTTCCATGTGTCTGTGTGGACACAGAGTTATGTGACAAATGTGACAAGAATTGGATTCTAACTCTTATTTAATTTTAGTGAATTTAAATACAGATTGGCTGTGTTAGATGTGAAATCTCTGGGCTCTAAGTCAAACAGTGAATCGTGTCTGAGCGAGGGTTAACAGCAGCAGCCTTGACTTTTTGGATATAGTGGTCAGCAGAGTCCCAGGGGCTCCCTCTAGGTGCTGTTCTTGCCTCTATGAACTTCTTTTGTGGGGCCCTCCCTTGGGCTTGGGGTTCCTTCCATTTCTCAACACTCCACCTCCTCTTCTTCCTGTTGATCACATGACTTCCTCAAGTCTGGCTTCTCCTGGGGGCCACTGGGCCTCTGAGTGCGTCAGGAGGGAAAACCTCTCCAGGGTCTGAGCCTAACTGTAGAACTTACCCCAAGTCTATCACCACCCCACACTTGCCTCGGGCTCCATTGTGGGATGGTCCTTAGTAGGAGCCGCCCCCGCTGGCCCACATTCTCGCTCATCCAGCAATTCCTCCTTGCTCACCTACTCCTGTGTCCGATGCTCTGCTAGAGACAGGGAGTTAGGACGTGTCTGTGCTTATAGAATATGTGGTGTGATGTGGCCACAGGCACAGAAACACACAGCCGAGGTAACACAGTGTGGTCAGCGTTCACACGGGGGGAGCAGAGGTCTCTGGACAGCTTGCAGCTGGGGGGCTGGTGGCTTGCCTCAGAGGAGAACTGAGACACACTCCGAAGAGGAAGGACACCTGCACTCGGGCTTGAAGTAAGAGTTTGCATGTATGGGTGTGAGAAAGAATTTTCCAGAAAGAAAAGGAACAGCATGAGAGCAGGGGCAGCACCCACAGAGGCATGAGGAAACAGCCCACCCTTTCCCGTGTGACTTGGAGGGAGTAGTTAGAAAGCATATCAGGAGGCAGGACTGGCCGGGCTGAGAACAGGACCTTTGGAGACAGACTTCTAATTCAATACTGTAGATTGATTTTGTTATTGTGTGGGCAACTTGTGTTTTTATTTGTTTAAAGTTCGTAGGCTCTTACTGTGCAGCCGAGGCTAGTCTCGAACTAATGATCCCTAGTACTGAGATAATTGGGTGTTGCTGGATTGTAAACGTAAGCGCATCTATTTCTTACTCTGTGTGTGGCTTTCTGCTTCTCTGGGCCAGTGGTGGGGAGAGGACCCTCAGGCCCGTTTTGAGGGTTAAATGCTGCAGTGAATGGCCAAAGTGAATCCCAGTGCCCGACTCTGCTAGGTCTTCCAAAAGTATCAGCTATTTCTCTTGATAAGGAGTTGACATGCTGGGATGGCCCAGCTGCGTATTGTTGTTGTCTGCAACAGGGAAGGGTGGCGCACCCGCAGAGCCTCCCAAGGCTAGCCAAGGAGAGCAGGTCTGCTTCTCTTGGACATGGGGAAGCTTCTGAGGTTTGCAGATGTCAAGCTGCAAGGCTAGATACAGTGAAGCAGAGGGCATCTGGAGGTAGAACTGAGGCATTACGCCCTGGGCATCCTGGGTGGCAGGGATGGGGACAAACACTCAGCTGGCTCTGTATTGGAAGGGAAGAGGCAGGAGGAGTCAGGTGCCACTGCAGGTGCCACTTCCCACTGTGGCTCTATAGTGACTACAGAGCCTGCTTCCCCGCAGCCGTTCTCCCCCTCCCCCTCCCACACCACTGGGCATGTGCGCCCCTGCGCCAGCCCTAGGATCGGTCTCACACGACTCCACAGCGCTGGGTGTGCAATCAATCTCCTGGTCCTCCTGTCTCCTTTCTACAGAGGGTGCCCACGTAGGTCTTTCTTTCTTACCTATGCCTGGCCCCAGTGCCTGTGTCTCCCTCTACTGACTGTGTTCTGCCACTGCATGGTTTGCCCTCCTAAGACAGTACAGCCCCGTGGACTGTGCCTTTCTTTCCCTGTCTGTCCAGAAAAGTACCTTTGGAGCCAGACATGCTAGACCAGCTGGCAGAAAGCACTGGCTCTCTGGCACCATCTGTGCACACGGCTGCTCCTTTCCTGCGTGTTCTTCTGGTGTAGCATCCTGGCTGGAGATGCTGGGAGCTGTGGTGGTGTCCCACTCCACAACCATCTGGGGTCATGAGCTCACATAGCTGCCACCGATTCTTCTGTGGTCTTTATGTTCTTCTTCGTGTGTTCATGCATTTACTTACGTTGGCCAAGCCACCACCATCTTTAAACTCGGTGACTTCAAAATAGCTTTTCTGTTCCTCCCAATGTGCGTGCGCACACACGGACACACACAGATACATAGACACAGACACACACACTGTTCCCCACATGGAACCAGAAGAATGAAATGTATTTTGGTTTTGTTTTTTTTTTTTAATAAACAAGTCAGGTTGTGCTAGCTTTATGAGTGCAGCTCACTTCTGTCTCCCATTGCTCTGAAGACCAAACCTGGCTTACCTGGATAGGAGGGTGAGCTCATGTTTCCCAGTACACCACAGAAGTGACCACTGACACCATCCTCAGTCCCCACCTCTCTTCTCCCTGAGTGAGGCTGTGTCTCTTGGGGAATCTTTCACTCCTTGTCCCTGGGACCTGTGTTCTCTAGGGGAACTGCAGAATTGGACCCTCCCACCTCACTTAGGCTCACCCACCTATGCCCACAAGTCCATCCAGGTAGGAGCACCAACAGTCTATCTCCTTGAAGTGACCATGCCAGGACCCCCAGAACCTGCTGGGAGGAGTCTTGGTCACTTGGGAATCTCTGCAGGGTTTGAATTCCCAGGTCAGATTAAAAGTTTCAAACGACCATGCAGGGTGATGGAGGGTATGGGCCGGGACCCAAACACACCTGAGCAATCCTGCTTGAGCTGAGGGGTGATTTAAGAATTCCCCTTAGGATGCTGCCTGGAGAAAGCCGTCTGGGATCTTAAAAGCTCATTCAAGTTGAATGCAGCTCCACTGAGCCGACTGGGGCTGTTTGCGGAGGTTGTTCTTATCTTGCACGTTATCAGCTTCTCTTCTACTCAACAAGGAGGCTGATTCTAAGAGGCAGAGTGCCTTTCACAAAGTTACAGAGCTGGATTCGAACTCAGGCTGTCTGCCTCCACTGTCCTTCTCATGGTCTGTTGTGGGGTCCTAGGCCACGCCTGGCCTCACTCTGCCGCCTCTGTGCCCCTCCCAGTGCTGCATTGACAACTTTGAAGAAATCGTCAAGCTGCTGCTTTCCCATGGTGCAAACGTGAACGCCAAGGACAACGAGCTGTGGACTCCCCTGCACGCTGCAGCCACCTGCGGCCACATCAACCTGGTGAAGATCCTCGTTCAGTAGTACGTGCCCCTCCCTCCCCGGGGCAGCCTGCCCTCCCCCTCCACAGATGGCCTTTTCCACATGCCTTAGTCTTCCTTCCCTCCTTCACGCCTTCCCATTCCCCCTCCATCTCCTCTCCCCCCCATCAATTTCCTTCTCTCTGTCTTCCTCCCCTAAAGTCCCTTTCTCTGTGTGTTCCCTGTTTTAAAGGGATTTATTTACTGCTTTTCCAGTTCCCCTTCCATTTCACATGTTGACCGATAGATCTTGGGCACATGGGACAGGAAAGCAAGACCAGTGGGTGGGGTCCTAGAGACTGACAGTATCTGAGCGCAGGGAGTCAGGAGGAGGGGTGAAGAGCAGGCAACCATCACACAGGTACTGGCAGAGCGTCAGAGACCCACTAGGTGCCTCCCAGGAGGGCCCTGAGGTCGGAGTGGTGCCAACCTGGCTTCATGTACTTTCCTGCTGGTCTGTATTGGAAGTAGCTGAGGCATGAGTGTACAATACATGTTCCCAGGCCCCCTGTGTTCTTTAGGGGTAATGGGAAGAATGCATGGGGCTGCATTTAATTTTTCTGCCATGGAGTGCCCCATAGTCACACCTGGGTACTGTTCCAGTCTCTGCCACTGTGGTCAAAACAGAACACAGCTTAGGGGAGAAAGGATCTATTTATTCAGTGACTGACAGTACTGCTTTCAGTCCCTCATTGTGGGGAAATCAAGGCAAGAACTTGAAGCAGCTAGTCACGCAGTCAAGGGCAGAGAGAAATGACTGTACATATTACTTAGCACCCAGTTAGCTTTCTCTACCCCAATGTGATCCGGGGCCCCAATCCCAGAAATGATGCTGCTCAGTTTTTTTTTTAAGATAGATTTATTTGTTTATTTATTTATTAATTATGTATACAACATTCTGCCTGCATATATGCCCACACGCCAGAAGAGGGCGCCAGATCTCATTACAGATGGTTGTGAGCCACCATATGGTTGCTGGGAATTGAACTCTGGTCCTCTGGAAGAGCAGCCAGTGCTCTTAACTGCTGAGCCATCTCTCCAGCCCCTGCTGCTCACTTTTAAACTGGGTATTTCCACATAATTAAAGCAATCAAGGCAGTCCCCCATAGACATACCTACAGATCAACCCGATATAGCTAAGACTTTATTGATATTCTTCCCAGGCAATTTTCGGTCATGTCAGATTAGAATGGTCAGCTCTTTGGATAAGGGACTGAAGAGGACGAATATGCATATTGGTGAAGGTTGTCATAGGGAGAATGGAGTAAAAAGGGCCGACACAGGAGAGACCTGGGCTTGGATCTTGATCCTATCATATCCAAGCTGTGTGCCTGAGACACATGACTGAGCCTTTCTGAGTCATTGTCCCCTCTTGAGTGAGCTGAGACCCCCAGTGGTACCCCTTGGGGGAGACTCCTTAAGGCAGTGTGTGCAAAGGACTTTTATCTATCCTGGCTTCAAGCAGGTAGCAGGTGAGATGTCCTGCTTCTGTTTACATCCTTTTTGTTATTGCTGTCGGAGAGGGCTTTGACATCTGCCTGGAAGCGTCCATCCGCTGATGGAGCTCATCTGAGACCTTGGTCCCTTCCTGATGGGACCCTGAGATGCGGAAACATTGCATTCCTAGGATATGGTGGGAAAGGAAGGGCATTGCTTAGCTGGGATGCACCTAGGTGGGGTCATGGCTGCTGGAGGAGGCTGTGAATGGTTAGCCAGATGATGGAGACAGCTAAACCGACCCAGACACACCTTCTTGGCTCTCACTCTGACCCTCTCTCTGCAGTGGGGCTGACTTACTTGCTGTCAACTCTGATGGGAACATGCCATATGACCTCTGCGAGGATGAACCCACCCTGGATGTCATTGAGACCTGCATGGCATACCAAGGCAAGGGGGAGCAGCATGTTACACCGTGAGCACAGTGCAGCGAACATGGTTTCAATGGATGGGAATGGCTGGCTTTGTACCTGCCAGCCTCGTGCTTAGCTCCCAATAACTGGGACAGGTCCTTGTTATTATTGTCATCCGTCTGATTAAAAGATAGGGACATGAAAGGGCCTTGGAACACATGCCGTGTAGAGGGAGATATTGTTCTCACTGTCACCCACACACGCAGGCGGCCTCAGCTGGCCTCCTCTTCTGTTTGTCAGCTGTGACAATCCAGTTCAGTCAACACTCACCATAAAGATGTGTCCCCATTTGGGAACATGGTAAGAAGTCAAGAACATTTGCGGGTGCTGCTCGGTGCCAGGCACCAAGCTGGCTGCCAGGGGCCCAGATAAACAAGATGTGGGCTGTTCTCGGCTCGCAGTGAGCTTCATAGGGAGGCACGTGTAACAGCGAGAGACACCTGCCAGTCCCAGCTCCCTCCATGCATCCCTGTAGGGCACTCTCTAGTAAAAGGGGTCTTAAATCCAGATCTGTAGCTGCGGCCCAAGGTCCTGCCACCCAAGTTCCTGCGAGGTCCGCACCTCTCTTCTCCCCAGATCTCTGTGGCCCCTGTTAACTTGGCTGTTGTATTTCCTGGTACCTGCATTTCCCCACTAATTTCCTATTGAAAGTTTTTAATAATTTTTATGCCAAACAACCCGAAACTACAGACTCCCCAATGGAGTTATAAAGTTGCCACAGTATGAAGGATGCCACCTGGATCATCTTTCAATATAGCTGCCAAAATATTTTAAATTGTGCTGCATAGAAGCCATGAATTCTTTTGATGATCAGATGTTGGGGTATGAAATTACCCCGAGTTTCTCTTGGCCATAGGCTTATAGGCACAAATAATTAATCTGATGGTGGGAAGTACTAACTTAGGTAAAGTCAAAGTAAGGATGTAATCTTTTCTTTTCTCCCTTCAAGTTTGAAGATTGCCCCGAATTGTACCCAAGGATATTTGATTCCATGGGTTTGTTTCTGTTTTTGTTTTTAATGGAACACTGTGTTCTCTTCTTTAATCAGTAGCCACCAGTGACAGGCACAATTTTGTTAGCCAGAGATATATATGGGCTGTAACATACTTTTCTGGAACTGGAATGGCTCGTGTGCCTGTAATACTAGCATATGGGAGGCTCAGGCAGGAGAATTGTCACAAGTCTGAGGCCAGCCTGCCCTACAAAGTGAGACTCTGTCTCAGAAAACAAAAGTCTTTCTGGGCTCTTCTATCTCTTACTTAAGTCTCTATTTGAAAGTAATATATTCACTGATTTAGATATTCTCACAACAACAACAAAAAAAATGTCTTAACCGTTGCATTCAGTACTGAAAACACAATAGTATACAAGAGAAAGGAAACCAACAGACCCTGGTCAGAAAGAGTGGCCAGTGGGTAATAGTTGGGGAGGTGACATAGATCAGCACCCAAAGAATGAGGCAGAGTAGCAATTGGGGCAGCAGGAGGTGAGCAGGCAGGTGCTCCAGCTTAGCAGGGAGAACAGCAAGCAGAAAGTAAGTGATGTCAATAAGAAGCCTTCTAGGTGCCAGGAAGGAATGGCCCTTGTCCTGTGAGGTAACCCATGGTGTTTGTGTTCAACAGGCCTGGGACAATGATCTTTGCACTGGGTGACTGGCAGACTTTGGGGAGCAGAAGCCATGTCTTCCTTGTCTGTTTGGGACCCAGACCTGATGCTGTTGAGTAATCTCTCTCACACCCCTGCAGGAATCACCCAGGAGAAAATCAACGAGATGCGGGCAGCTCCTGAGCAGAAGATGATAGCGGACATTCACTGCATGATTGCCGCCGGCCAGGACCTTGACTGGATAGATGCCCAGGGGGCCACGCTGGTGAGGAGATAGGTCAGGCTGGTGTGGGTGGGAGGCAGGTACCAGAACCAAGACCAACTGGGGCTGACTGAGTTGGGTCTGGTTCATGGTAATGGTGAAAGCGTATACACTTGTGTCCTTGGGCTTCCTCTAGACCCCCTGCTGCTCCCTGAATATAGACAATTAAAGCTAGGGTCCAGCCTCCTTCTGACCCTGGCCATTCTCACCTGGGGCTGGGAGTCAGGAGCTCTGGGACTGGGCTCTGATGCCCATCTGCTCTGTCTCCATGGCAGCACCTACACTCTCCTCAAGGACTGCCCTTTGCCTGCTCACCCCACACAGTCCTGCTTTGTATCATCCAGTCTCAGCCTAGTATGCCCTTGAAAACCACAGCCTTCCTCATTCAGCTCTCCCTGAGGTTACTGTAACAGATTTTATCCGTCACTCCATCACTCCATCCATCCATCCATTGATTTGTCCATCTTTCTGCCCATTTATCCACTGTCTGTCCATCCAGTTAACACATAATTATTGTGTTAACATTAACTGGCATTGAGGACAGTCTGAAAACTCATTTTTTATTTACTGATAATAATCTCCTCCCTATCTCTGGCTCTGTGTCTCTTCATGTACGCTATGCAAATGCTATACTTCTGAGATATATCCCCAGGCCTTATTTATTTATCCTTGAGACAGGGTCTTGCTATACAGTTCAAACTGACATGGAGCCCACCATCCTGCCTCTGCCTCCCAAGTGATGGGACTCCAGGCAAGTGCTACCATGCTGGCTCTGACAACCCTCCTCTTCACTAGCAATATCCCCATATGAATTATGCTTTTTATTCCCTGGTTACGGACCTCCTGTGACCCTGTACTTTGAGGGATCTGGCTAGCCAGCGAGGTTTCGTTTTCCACAGTTGACAAGCCTCAGATGTATAAAACCCATGATTATGCTAATCTGCATGTGCTACTTACTCACACCATACCCTAGATTTATTCCAAAAAGTTAAAGAAACAAAGAAAACTTGCCCTTATCAGATCTAAGAGCAACCTCCTCACGGAGGAAACACGTGACCAAACAAGTGACCGTCAGGGTCCCATTCAAACCTGAGCTGTGACTTACCTGTCCCAGTGACTCTCATCACAGATCCCAAACCCTTTCCATCCTCTGCATCATTCCCAGTCAGTCTTCAGCCTGCTCTAGAGACTGTCACTTCTGTCCCCATCTGTGGTTGAACAGAAGTTTTTCTTTGTCTCACTTCCTTCTCTCTCCTTTACTCATTCTTTTCTTTTTCTTTCTTTTTAAAACTTATTATGCATACAAAGTTCCACTGGCCTATGCGCCTACATGCTAGAAGAAGGCACCAGATCTCAGTATAGGTGGCTGTGAGCCGCCATGTGGTTGTTGGGGCTTGAACTCAGGACCTCTGGAAAGAACAGCCAGTGCTCGTAACTCTGGCCATCTCTCCAGCCCCCTCCTTCCCTCACTCTCATGACATACCTTGCGGTCATGCTCTCCACCCAGCGCTAAGCACTTCCTTTTCTGGGTGACTGGACAAGTGGAACAACTGAGGCCTGCTTAGGGGCAGCCATGACAGGCAGCCTTGAATGGTGTTGAAGAAAAGAGTTAGGGCCTCAGCCTCAGTAGTGGCTCATGCCAGTAATCCCAGGTAATCCTAGCACTTACGGCAGGAGGACGGTTATAAGTTGAGGCTGTCTTGGGCTACGGAATGAGACCCTTTCTCATTAGCTAACTAAATAAGTAAACAAACTAGTTGGGACCTCAACAAATGCAGCATGAATCTTCCTGTGATGGGTGTCAGTTACAATTGACCCTCCAGGGTAATCTTTATAGTAAACACAGCATTTCTATGCAGCAGGGAATTAGGAATTGCTTAGCTGGGTGACTCTGACTTGGCATTTCCCCTGAGGTTGACCAGAGTTGCAGTCACATCTGAAGTGGGTCTTCTTCCTGTGGTTGCCTTGCACGACTGATGGCAGTTAGCAGAAGGCCTCAGTTTCTTGCCTTTTTTTTTGGCGGGGGGGGGCAGTGTTTTGAGACAGGGTTTCTCTGTGTATCCTTAGCTGTCCTGGAACTCACTCTATAGTCCAGACTGGCCTCAAACTCACAGAGATCCACCTGCCTCTGCCTCCCGAGTACTGAGTTTAAAGGTGTGTGTAACCACGCTCGGCTTGTTTCTTGCCTTCTTACTTCTCTTTGGGGCTCCATGAGATGGCTACTTCCTCCCTGATGGATCCAAGAGAGCATAAAGTAGAAGCAGCGATGCCTCTCATGCCCTCATAATCATAATCATACCCTGCCCCTTGGTATTGTCCTCTTGGTTAGAAGTGAGCCAATCAAGGTGGTCTACGTTCAAATACAGAGTAATCAGATCCTACATTTTAAAAGATGTGTCAAAGACTAGGTAGGTATATTTTCAGATTACCGCATTGAACCTCTGAGACTCCTCCAGGGTTCAGGTGACGAGCTCATCTCTGCCTCCCCTTGTCCTTCTCGATTCCACACCTAGTAATCCCCCGCAACCTTCCTGGCTGGTGTCACAACCTTATTCTGTTCCATTCTCTGTCCCTGAGGATGCTCTGAGGCTTGGGGGGTGAGAAAGGACACCTGCCTCTAAATGTGGAGCCAGTCCCTTTAGGGAATGCTCATTTCTTTTGGGAGGAAGGCCCTGGAACTCGCTCTTTCGCTCTTTCGACCAGGCTGGCCTTGAACTCACAGAGATCCGCCTGTCTCTGCCTCCTGAGTGCTGGGATTAAAGGTGTATGCCACCATCGCCCAGCAGAACCACTCACTTCTTTCCTCTCCTCCAGCTACATATAGCTGGGGCCAATGGATACCTACGGGCAGCTGAACTTCTCCTGGACCACGGAGTGCGTGTGGATGTGAAGGACTGGGATGGCTGGGAGCCTCTGCATGCAGCAGCCTTCTGGGGACAGGTACTTCCCACCCCATGTAGAGTCCTTTGGGCTGGCAAATGATGTGAGCGAACAAGGACCCACTTAAGGCACTGGCTACAGTGAGTATGGGAGATGAGAAGACTCAGGGAGGTTGCAAACACTTAGATTTGCCCAATAGAAAATCCCCTTGATTTCTGCTTTGCATGGTTTCTGTAGAATGTGTTTTCCTAAATGTGATTGCAGCCTGTGCAGCCACCCATAGACACCCAACAGTTGTGGAATCGTAATTGATTCCTCCTCCTCCTGCTTCTCCTTCTTGTAGTAACCCAGGCATGCTTGGAGGAGGTGCCAAGTCCATCAAATTTGACAGGGATCTCTCATGGCTACAGCATGCAGCAACTTTCCTCCACCATTCTTTGGGTCACATTCTAAGAGATCTTGGGTACTTTCTCCAGCTTCTGGGCTTCTTGAGGCATGGGTATGGGGAACATGAACTTCTTCCTGTGTTGCAGATGCCAATGGCAGAGCTGTTAGTGTCCCATGGAGCTAGTCTCAGTGCCAGGACGTCCATGGATGAGATGCCAATAGGTAAGACAGCTTCATACTTTGTATGTACATACTTACCAGCTTTTTGATGCTGAGTAGACATTGAACACATGGATGCATACTAAAAGTAGGCAAGTATATGACAGAGATAGACAGATAGGTAGACAGACAGACAGACAGACAGATAGATGGATGGATAGAGGATCAATGGGTGAATGGATGAGTAGGGTAGACAGGTAATGTGATGCGGGATATGATGATGAATGGATAGATAAGTAGATGGGTGGGCTGAGGATGATGAACCTATGGACCAGGTTATCCAGAAGATGGACAAGTTGATAGATTCAGTATCAATGGCTGGTGGGGTCAGGGGGAGTTCTCAGCATCATTGCTTCATTTCCTGCTTGAGGACTCTGCTTGTTTCTCTCAATGCTCACATCAGGGAGACTTTATGACTCTCCCAGAGACCGTCAAGGGTATGTGTCCTGGTTTCCTTTCTGTTGCTGTGATAAAACACTGACCAAAAGCAACTTGGGAAGTAATGGGTTTATTTGACTTACACTTCCACATCATAGTCCTTCATTGAGGAAACTCAAAGCAGGTACTGAAGGAGAAGCCATGGAGGGATGCTGCTTACTGGCTTGCTCCCTCTGCTTTGCTATTCAACCCAGGCTCACATGCCCGGGTGGCGCAACCAACAGTGGGCTGACCCTGTAGTTGGAGGCTGCTTGTTCATTCCTGGCTACCCAGAACCAAAACAATCACATAGAAATATGTGTTAATTGCAATACTGTTTGGCCAATAGCTTAAGCATATTTCTAGCTAACTCTTATATCCTAAATTAACCTGTGTCCATTAATCTGTGCATCACCATGAACTTGTGGCCTACCAGCAAAGTTTCAGCAGGTGGAGGCATCTGTCTCCTCTGGTGGCTATATGGCTTCTCTATGACTCCACCTACTCTCTCTCTCTATTTCTTTCAGCCTGGCTCTACTCTGTTAAGCCATTGGCCAAAAGCAGCTTCTTTATTAACCAATGGCAATAAAACAAATTCCCAGCATACATCACCTCCCACATCATGGCCTCTCCCAGATCAATCAAGAAAATGTTCCCACAGACTTGCTCACAGGACAGTCTGATGGAGGCAAGCCCTCAGTTGAGATTCCCTCTTCCCAAATATGCCTAAGTCTGTGTCAAGTTGACAATGCCTTACCAGCACGGTATGAGTTCCTCAGTCTTCTTAGCTGGGAACTTCAGGAGTTCAGAGGCCCGGGTCTCCCATTCCCACCCTCTTCTGAGGAAATAAGCAGGAGTTGCTTTATCCCCTCCCTCTGTGTCCCAGAAGGTTCTCAGAGTTTTCGGTATGTTTTCGTGGTGGTTTCTGTGGTATGGAACCCCTACCTAGCCTTCTGGAACTGACCCTTGTACTCCTTCAGACCTGTGTGAGGAGGAGGAGTTCAAGGTCCTGCTGTTGGAGCTTAAACACAAGCATGACGTCATCATGAAGTCCCAGCTGAGGCACAAGTCATCTCTGAGCCGCAGGACGTCCAGTGCAGGCAGCCGTGGGTGAGTGGTACGGTGCAATCGGGGGCCCCTGCACCTGCCTGCCTGTGGCTCCTGGCCACAGCTTCCCAGCACCTCCTCTGTCCCCCTCAGGAAGGTGGTGCGTCGAGCCAGCCTGTCAGACAGAACGAACCTGTACCGGAAAGAGTATGAGGGAGAAGCCATCCTTTGGCAGCAGCGGAGTGCAGCAGAGGACCAGCGTACCTCCACCTACAACGGAGACATCAGGGAGACCAGGACAGACCAGGAGAACAAGGACCCGGTAAGGGACCTCCTGCCTTCCTTCAGTGTTGGCCACTGCCTTGTGAAGAGTACAGGGCCCAGCCTGGTCCTACCCACCTCCTCATCTGAGGAAATAGTTGAGTGGCACCCTTAAACAGCTGGGTCCTGTCTGAGGGTGGTGGCTGATATTGTTAAGGAGGTGACCCGTGGGTGTATTTGGCAGGGACAGAGTGACTGCTGTAGGTCTGCTTGTCCCCCCAATAGATCTGATCCCGAATCTCCCACAAGAGAGGCTCAGCATGACAGTTACCCTAGGAGCTAAGGGCTAAGACCTTCTCTTGCAGGGGCATAAGGTTTGAGAATGCTATTTACCAAGATGCCATCTGGTTGAAGGGGGTATTCTGAAAACTGTAGCGCGACTGTGGGATAGTCTCTGAGAAGCTGCTCCAGCAGCAGCTAGTGGCCCTGTGTTCTAGGCACTCTCAGAAAATGGGGTATAGTCTTCTTCATCTCTGGTACCAGAGGGCACACTGGGGACTTTTGATGGTGGACACTGGGGCTGGAGATATAACTCAGAGGTTAAAAGCACTGGCTGTTCTCAGAGGTCCTGAGTTCAGTTCCCAGCAACCACATGGTGGCTCACAAACATCTATAATGAGATCTGGTGCCCTCTTCTGGCCTGCAGGAATACATGCAGGCAGAACACTGTATACATAATAAATAAACACATAGTTAAAAAAAAAGAAGGCAGATACTCAGGAGTCTGAATTTCAGAAGTCTAACATGAAGATGGTTGAAAGGGTTTCTCCTCTTGGTGCTTCTGAAGGAGAGGTCTGTGCTGAGGCTTCCTCCCAGCTTCTAGTGGCTTGGGTGTCCCTTCACCTTTAGTGTGACTTTGATCTTCACCTCTGTCTTCACAAGCCTTCTTCCTGTGTATGTGTACACCTCCACTTTTTAAATTTAAAACATATTTTTGTTTATATAGTGTATTTACAGGTGTGGGCACACACATGTGAATGTACACTCATGTGCAGGCCAGAGGCCAGTGTCTGTGATATCCATCAGTCACTTACAACCATTTCTTTCTAGACAGGTTCTCTTACTGAACCTGATGCTCACCGATTAGCTAGACCGGCTGGCCAGTGAGCTCCAGAGGTCCACCGGTGTCTGCCCACTCTGCATCAGCGTAACAGACATGAATGACCACACTCAAAGTTTTTAGTGGATGCTGGGAGTCCAAACTCAGGTCTTAACTCTTATCAACCAAGCCATTTTTCTGACCCCTTTGTTTTCTTATAAGGGCCCTAGTCATTAGACGAGGGCCCATCCCAATCTAATAGACTCTCATAGTTATTTTTGAGTCAAATAATTTTATTACTTGCATTTGAAGCACTCTTCAGTGACCTCTGCTCTGACTCTACTCAGTAGTCTCTAACCACAACATAACTACCTAACTGTAGCCATCCACTCCACAGGACTTCACATCTGGGTGGGTTTTGCACAGGCTTGCCCATTCTTACAGTTTCTTCCTGTCACCAACACTAATTAGGTTGGTTTGGTGCTCAGCACAAGAGCCTCTCCGTGCTTACGTATGTAAGTTCATCACAGACGGTGTAAGCACATAAAGATGGCCTGGGCGCTTGTCCAAGGCTTTGGCAGCTTCTTGAATTTCTCAGGTTGGGCCATCGTGGATAAGAGCAGTCTTCGGCACCCTTAGTACTGACATCTATTACACTTCCAGCCAGGAACATCTTCCCCGGCCGTGGTGATGGGGCAGGGGTGAAGCTGAATCTTGGACTCACCAAGCATCAGCAGTAGCAGGGAAAGAGCCCTCATCTTGATTTAATGACAGTTACAAAGAGAATCAATGGATGCAGACACTGAATACATATTTTTCTCCCTCTTAATAATAGACTTTGAGATTTGAAGCAGTTTTATATTTATAGAAAAATAAGTGGAGTGGTTGGGGAGATGGCTCAGCCAGGAAAGTGTCTGCCACGCAAAATGAGGACATGAGTGTGGGTCTCCAGCACACACACTGGAAAAAAAGCCAACCAGCGGTGGTGGTGCACACTTTTGATTCCAGAACCCAGGAGGCAGAGGCAGAGAGGCAGAGAGGCAGAGGGATCTCTGTGACTACAAGGCCAGCCTGGTCTATAAACTGAACTACAGGAACTCTGTCGTAAAAAAAAAAAAAAAGTTGGGTATATAATCCTAGTGCCTACGAGATGGAGACAGGAGGACCCCTGGGACTCTGGTCAATCATTCTAGCTGAATTGGCAAGCTTCAGGTTCAGGGAGAGACCTCTGTCTCAACGCACACACACACACACACACACACACACACACACCTACCCATACTTGTACACACACTCATACAAAACTTAATAGTTAGAACACTGCCCTTAGGTCTATTTCATTTCCATCTTGTACTTGGGTACTGCCTGTGCTGTCACCGATGAGCCAGTACTGATGCGCATGTCACACCTGACTTCGTTCTGTGTTGCACGTCTGTGGACGCCACTTTTACGTGTCATGCCGCATGCTTTCACTGTCCCAGAATACCCCCAGTGTCCCACTAATTAGGTTCTCACTTCAGTCATGTAGTTGTAATTGTCTAGTCTGTAGTTTTTTAAAGTAACATTGCTTGCAGGTGTTGCTTGGTGTTCATGGTGGGGGTTCAGAAGACACAGAGAGGTTAGTCTCCCTGTGACCAGTGTCCCTTGATCTCAGCTTCTCATACAAGCAGAGAGGACACCTTTGACTCTGTGCTTCTGTAGCCCACAGCTTGCAGCATCTTTACCAATTGTAGTTCTTACAGAACATCTTTCCAGTTGTTCTAGTAAAAGTCTCAAAGTTGAGTTTCACGGATGCCCTGTCTATTAACTCATTCCAGGACATTGGCAATAAAATATGTTCATTAGATTCAGCCCCGGGGTTGGGGTGGGCTTTGGTCTGCCCTGCCAGAACTCAGGCCCAGATGCCCCAAAACTACATAGAGGTAGAGAAACATATGCAGGATGGGCTTCAGTACTCAGGTCCCTCGGGAGAGGTGCAGGTGACTGATGGGTGCAGGCCCTCTAGCTGGGGGGTGATACTGACATTGTCCTCTCTCCCTCTCTCCCTCCCCCCTCCAGAACCCCAGGCTGGAGAAGCCAGTGCTACTCTCAGAATTCTCTACCAAGATTTCCCGGGAAGAACTGGATGGACCTGTGGAAAATGGCCTCAGGGCTCCTGTCAGCACCTACCAGTACGCACTGGCCAACGGGGACATATGGAAGATGCACGAGATGCCTGATTACAGCATGGCCTATGGCAACCCCAGGGTGGCTGATGTCCCCCCACCCTGGAGCGGCTTCAAGGAGCAGAGCCCCCAAACGCTCCTGGAGCTGAAGAGGCAGCGGGCCGCAGCCAAGCTGCTCAGCCATCCCTTCTTAAGTACCCACCTGGGCAGCAGTGTGGCCAGGTCAGGGGAGAGTAGCAGTGAAGGCAAGGCCCCCTTGATCGGAGGCAGAACTTCCCCCTACAGCAGCAACGGGACCTCGGTGTATTACACGGTGACCAGCGGAGATCCCCCGCTCTTGAAATTCAAGGCCCCCATGGAGGAGATGGAGGAGAAAGTCCATGGCTGTTGCCGGATCTCCTAGTCTCTGGGAACTAGAGGAGAGAGCTGCCTCGGAGATGTGCCCTTGGAATCCACGCCAGCCCTGGCTGGGGAGGTGTCAGAGGGAAGCCAGGGAGAGGTGGGAGCTGCTTTCCAGATAAATGCTGACCTCACCTCATGCCCAGCTGCCCATAGCATCCCTATTCCCCTCTGTGCTGCTTTCCCGCTTCAATGCCTACATCTGAAGCATAGCGGCCCCAGCTCACTCTTATTCAGGGAGGCTGAGCTTGGGATCTCAGTTCTGTACTTTATAAAGGCTTCTTGAGACCAGAACTAACACCCACCACCCTTCTCTCTCTCTCTCTCTCTCTCTCTCTCTCTCTCTCTCTCTGTCTCTCTCTCTCCTCTCTCTCTCTCCCCCCCCCCCTCTCTCTCTCTCTCACACACACACACACACACTTCAGTGTGTGGGAATGTTACACCTGAGCTCTTGGTGGGGCTGAGAATTTGTAGGTTATTCCCAGAAGACAAGAAAGTCTTGGCACACCTATTGGCTTCCACGGGGTTCAGACCTGCTCAGCTGAGACCCACAGTTCTGCTTAGAGTCACATCCATTTGGCTGGGCCACCACCCACACCTAGGAGGGACAGGAAGTCTTTCTCTGTTTTCATGGGATCCAGGAATCAATATGGATCATCAGATCAGTGGGTCCAGGCCTGCTCCCAACAGCCTCACTGAGAGCCACTTTCTTGCGCATGTCAATAGGCTGGTGTCTGACTGTTCAAGGGCCACGCTTGAGAACCAGGCCATCTACTCTTAGAAGAAACCAAGTCTTGTTTTGGTCTTCTGGGGAAGCACAGGAGTTGGGTAGGGTGCCACACATTGGTATTTTCCAAACTGCATTTGGTTAAAATCTTCTTTGAGGCTGTAAAATTCCAGGTGGGAGGTAACTGAATTTGCCTTCTTCCGAGACAAAGTCACGGCTGGGTTTTATTGTCTGGTGTTTGAAAAGTGAATTTTATCAGGAGCGTCTGTGGGGGCCTCTGAGGGGAAGGATGAGTGCATTGCTGAGGACACCCTGGTTAACACTGATAGGACACAGCATGCCGGCTCTTGTGGTTTCCAGGCTGTTTGGGTCCAGCCCATCTCAGCTAGTCCTTCTCAGTCTGAGTGAGCAGTTGCAGCTTGCCTGTGCACCACCCTCCCGGAGCCTTACACAGCCAAGTGTGCAGAGTGACTGTTGGGCCCACACCCCTCCACGCTTTGCCTTTTCTGTAATGCTATGTAAGACCTGTTTGCCAATGATCACTTGTTGGCTCCTGCCAGGAGGTCTCAAAGCTCCCAGCCCACTTTTGCTGGAGCAGTAATGCCCAAAACTGCAAACGGAGGTGTCCGTGGCCACTGTCCTGTGCTGCGTCCAGGAGAGGGGTAGCATGGCTGGAGTTGACTTGCCTTCCAGCTGTACAGGTTTGCTGCCCTCGTCTTCCTGATGTTGGGGAAGGAAGCCCACACCATTTCACCACCACACTCTCCCACAAACCCACCGAAATTGTGTGCCATACCTTGGGTGCGACACACAGGCTCCACCAAAATCTTCTAATCTTCTGGTGTAACTAGCAAGCTACAAGTTTGTTCCTTGCTCTGTGTTCCTTTTATTTGTCCTTAAACTACCTCCTTAGAGCCCTGAGAGGGTCCCTAAGTATAGATTTAGATTTAAGGGACAGATACCCATGTTGTAATGGCCCCCTGTGCCAAAACCTGAGTAGTCAGTCTTGCCATTGGTCTCTGTCCCCACTGTGGCCTTGGGACCTCAGAAGGCTAGAGATGAGTTAGGACCTAACTGGGTCAGGGTAATGCTTTATCAGGATCAGAGGTGTGGGGAGGGAGCTGGATGCAGAAGGTGGTCACCCCCACCCCAATTCCAGGACAAATGCAATCTGGCATGGTGGGGCAACATAGGAGACCAAAGTCAGTTTCTTGAATCCCTGGGGCCTTAGCTAGGTTCTGCAGCCCATGGCTGAAAGAGGATGATTAAAACACACATGTGTGGCTTTAAACCAGTATTTGGCTCTGACAGACACTGAGATGCTTCTCAAGCTGACTTTAGCCACAAGGTGGGCAGTGCCCAGGCAGCCAGCCACATACTCTTAGGAGTCAGCTGCCCAGGGTTGCGGAGCTCTTTGCTCAGGGGCTAGAGAGTGAAGGCCTTTATTGCCCTCTCTGAGCCATTCAGGCCATTCCTCCTTCACCCCCAGCACTTCTTCCTGCCCTCTGGGCCATTCCTGTCTACTTGACGGATGGGAAACTTAGCTGCCTCTTCTGTGGGAGCTAGCCTCAAACAGTGTGGACTCATGAGATTTTGTTCATGTTTTCCACCAGGGGCAAACAGACGTTCCCTGTTTGGGCTCCCAGTCCCCAGGGCACTTTCCCTGCGACTCTTTGGAATATTGAGAGTCACAATGAGGAATAACCTCCAGTGCATGAGCCAGGGCCACCCACTCACTCACTTGTGTAACCTGTTGAGGTGCTGAGACACACCAGACATGGTGGTGGTAGTTTCTGCAGATAATGGACCAGCCAGGCAGCAAGGACTTGGATCCCTTGAGGACTGTGGGCATCCCCAGACGCATCCATTATTCTGATAAGAGTGCCTGCATCCCAGACTAGTGCCCCTGTGCTTTGCAGATCCTGCAGTTCTTAGTGTGAATCTCTTTAGCTGGGGTGCAACTTTATGACCACACCAAGATAACATTTGCTACTAAGTGCAGATGCTAGATCTTGGGTTCCAGGCAGACACACCACACCAGTCCATCTAGAGCCTTCAGAGGTAACCTTAAGGCCAGCATCCCTGGAGAACAATATAACGGCAGTCTGAGGTCAGATCCTGGAAGAATTAGAAGCCTGCAATTTGCTGTCAAACGCATCCCTAGCTTTTACAGCCATCTCTTGCTCATTTTTACTCATAAATCATACAGTCTCTTCTCCTACCCAACCAATGCATATTAGGAGTGAGAATAACTACTCTTTCCTTTTCATAGCAAAACTTTCCCTGTGTGTCAGCCTCTCTCCCTGGAAAGTGTGGATCCAGGGGCTAGGGAAAGCTTGACAAGGTTGACCAGATGTCCCACTCCCACCAGGAACCTGTGTCTCGGTAGCCAATCTTGGCAAACTGCAGACATCTATTTCCAAACTAGTGCCCCGCAGTTCCCTGTGAACTGTGCTACTTGCAGCAACCCTGTTCTCCCTAAACAATTAGAAATTGGTAGCTATCACCAGATTGTGAGTTTCTGGCCAGTAGCTCAGGGAATTGGGATAATTCTTAAGCCCAGGTCTACTGAAGATTTTGGGGATATAATTCTTTATCAAATATTCAGCATTAATGAAGCTTCTCTGCACTATTTGATGAACGTTTAGATGCTTGAAAAGGTTGCCAGAGTGTGGCACCCAGACGGACATAGTGGCACACACCTTTAATCACAGTACTAGAGAGACAGAGGCAGGCAATGTATTTCCGAATTCAAGACCAGCCTGGTCTGCACAGTGAGTTCCAGGCTCTACAGAGAAGCCCTGTCTCAAAAAAATCAATTAAATAAATAAAAGTAAAATACGATTCCCTGATTGACCTGGCACAGTCTAAGTTTGTAACAGTGTGAGATTTTTGGTTCTTAGTGTCTGATACTCTTGGATCCTGAGCTTTCTCTCCTACCTGCTCTCCCAAAGCAGGGTATCAGAATGCTTTCCAGAGGGACCATCCTTCTATGACACCAGGACTGTCTGAACCCTCACTGTTTGTAGCCTGGTGATAGCCTCTCCTTCCCCAGGGCACAGAAAAGCCAGGGTCACATGGCCACCACTTTCCTAGTAAACCCTTTGGCCTCTCCTCCACAGGAGTCCCTTGTTGGCCAGAGGGCCTGCTTCTTGTGGGCACTTTCAAGTGCCACTGTGCGGGGCCTGGCTCTGCACACCCAGGATAAGTCTGCAGACCCCCAGCCCTCCGCAATAACTCAACAGACCAGAAGCCACTGATGTACAGAGAACACTTAAGGAAAAAAAAATGTATTTTATGTGAAAAAAGTTAAAACTCTGTATACTGTATCAGCAGCTTTGTGTAAAAATGGCAATCAAAAGAGTCTAATATATTTAAAACTTTTTTTAAAAAAAATTCTCATGGATCTTTGATATTGTACTGAAGTAGCGCCATGCCTCCAAGATGGAGTCTGACTATATCCCCAAGGGGCCTGTGCCCCTGGAGTTACTTCCAGCTGCCAAGGCCTGTGACGGAATTCGCTGTTATGGATTTTTAATTAAGATTATTAAATTCCTTTTAATAACACCTGTTGATCTGACTGTAGTTATTGCTGTACACTCGCCTGCATAGGACTGGCTTGAGTTCTACAAGAAACCATGCCGGAGTGTGTGTGTGGGGGGCTCCCAGACCTGCCTGTACCCAGAAGGCTCTCCTAGGAGTTCCCCAGAACAGCAAGAGCTTTGGAGATTCACAGGTGGTGCTGAAGGGTTTTCTCAGTTGATAGATGGTGAAAACTTAGGAATTCCAGGTGGTTGGCATTGGGCTTTATTCTGTCAAACTTTCCCTTTGAAATTACATAATGCCCTATAGCAGCATATATTTTACAGTTTGATTGGTGACAGATTTATATGTTACCAGGGTGCCCTCCTCCTCCGTTCCAAACTCGGGATCCACTGGCTTGTTGTGGGCCTTCCCATGATCCCCACTGGGCTTATAGTGAAGAACAGTGCTCTACCTCATTCAACAGGACTGTGGACAAAACTCTGGTTCTTCTCACTTTTAACCCAGGAAATAGAGGCAAAGACAGACCATACGGTTTGTACAACCCCAAGCCAGAGCCCCTGTCCTTATTACATGCAAGAGTTGATGTCGTGAAGGGTGTTGCCCTCTTGTAGGATTCTGGCCACGGGATGCCAGAGTAGGGACACACTGACGGCCTCACCCTTGGGCTTGAGTAGGTTGGGGGCTGGGAAAGGATGGAGAGAAGGAGAGGGTGTCCTAACAGCAGCATCCATCTGTTTTAAGTTTACTGAGGTGGAGGCGGAGGATTAGACAGGCAAGGTCATCCTCAGCTACAAGGTGAGTTTGAGGCCAGACTAGGCTACATGAGACCTTGTCTCAAGAGACAAAGACCACATTTTATAAAGCTTTGTAGTGGCCCTAATGCTTTCTTCTTTGCACAAAGTTGTCTGCTGGATTTGGCCCAGTGGAAACTTGGGGTGACCCCTGGCAGAGGCTTTGGTACCACACTTGTTGCATGAACTTGCTTGAGAGAGTAGAGGACAAAACAGGAAACTGAAGACATCAAGTCCAGGCCACTCATTTGAGGTTCTAGGCTGCAGGAATGAAGGAATCTACAGCCAAGAAATGGTTATCTTAAGATGAAGGACTGGAGAGATGGCTCAGTGGTTAAGAGTATACATTGCTTTTGCAGAAGACCCAAGCTGGGTTCCCAACGTCCATGTGTAGCTTGTAAACACTTGAAACCCCAGCTCTGGGGGAATTTGACACTTCCAACCTCCGGGGCACCTGGGCTCACACGCATACCTTCCTGACCCCCGTTTAGACACACAAACATATTTTCTAAAAAGGTGACGATATTGAGGAGAGCGTGGTGGTATGCCTCTGTAATCCCAGTCCTTGGGGGGGGGGGGGGGCGAGGCAGGAAGATCAAGAATTCAAGGCCTGTCTGGGCAGCAAAGTGAGGTACAATTAGTCTACAAGCTTGATCCCATCCTTTCCCCATTCTATTTCTATGACTGTCTGGGTGCAAGTGGAAAGTGGGGTTTAAATAGGACTCAGGTGTTGCCGGGTAAAAAAGTATGAAGTGATGGGGAAAGAAAGGAAGGCCATCAGTGAAGGAGCGGGTGCCACATGGATTAGTATATAGATGCATATGTGTGTGCATTTATGTTTGCACATATGTATATAGATATATATGTGTATGTTCCCAAGGTCTTACGTAGCTTGGGATGAGCTTGCATTTGGCATGCAGCACAAGATGGCTTTGAACTCCAGCTCCTCCTGCCCCAACCTCCCATGTGCTAGGAGTGTGCCACTACCCCCGGTTTTGCGCCACTGGAAAAACATTTATTTGTGCACCACGTATGCATACAGTATCCGTGGATACCAGAAAGGGCATCGGAACAGATGGAGCAATTACAGGTAGTTAGGAGCCACCAAGTAAGATGAGAGTCAAACTCAAATCTTCCAGAAGTGCTCTTAGCTGCCGAACCATCTCTTCAGTCTCCGTTTTTTTGTTTTTTTGTTTTTTTAATGAATAAATAGATGCAGGGTGGAATGGCAATATAGTTGTCCAGGAGCAAGTCCGAGTCTCTGGTCCCGGACCTCCGGTGGGGAAGCCGGCAGGGGGCGCGCAGGGACAGCTCCGGGCCCCGTCTTCTGCTGGAACCGTTCTAGGACAGCAAAGGCGGGGTAAGCTCCGATTTAAATTTCCCTCAGCCATCAAGCAGTGAGAGCAGGCAATGGGCGGGTCCGTCTTCAGAGAGAAGCCAATAGCAATAAGGGGGCGGGCTCTGCGGGTTGCCTAGAAGGCAGGCAGCCAATGGGAGATCCGGGGCGGGGCGCCGAGCCAATAGCGCGGGCTGGTTTGATTCAAAGGTGCCTATAAAAATCTCAGGCGACCGTCGCACTTCAGTGGACCCTCGCCGAGCGCTGCCATGGCTGCTCACTGTGAGCTGTTGGACGAGCTTCCCGCGGCCTGCCTGTCGCCGTGCGGACCGCCCAACCCCGCCGAGCTGTTCAGCGAGGCGCGGCGCCTGGCTCTCGAGCAGCTGCTGGCCGGTGGCCCCGAAGCTTGGGCCGCCTTCCTACGGCGCGAGCGGCTGGGCCGCTTCCTCAACGCCGATGAGGTGCGCGCGGTCCTGGGCGCCGCCGAGCGGCCGGGCGAGGATGGCGCGGCGGTGGCCGAGGACTCGTTCGGCTCCTCACACGACTGCTCGTCCGGCACCTACTTTCCCGAGCAGTCGGACCTGGAGCCGCCGGCCTTGGAGCTGGGCTGGCCCGCCTTCTACCGGGGTGCTTACCGCGGAGCCACGCGCGTCGAGGCGCATTTCCAGCCCCGCGGCGCTGGCGCGGGCGGCCCGTACGGCTGCAAGGATGCGCTGCGCCAGCAGCTGCGCTCCGCCCGAGAGGTGAGCGCCCCCTCCACCCTTCCCCGAGGTCCCCCACTCGCCTGCTTTGCAGCTCAACGCCGGAGTAGGGGAGGAACTTCGGCCTTCAGAAGCTGGAGTCGTTCGTAGTTCTGAGCCCTAATATCCGTACCCCTGGATCAGGGCCCAGTCGCGACTGTTAGTTTAGACCAAAGTGGACTGCAGAATTCCCGGGACGTTAGCTGACAACTAGATTCCACTTTCAGGAGCTTCTTAAGACACGCATTACTAAAGAGTCGCTTTACCCAGAAGATCGTTCCCAGAGACCATTGAGAATCTGTTAGTGCCACTTAACTCCCACGCGTCTTAATGTCGTAGACGGATAAATTCTATCCCAGGCCTTTGACTTCTGACCCTTCTGTGAGTGAGTCTGGTGGGAGAGCCACATCCCTTTCCCCTATGTCTGGGGCTGTTCCCGGTAGCTTTAACCCAAAATGCAAATACTTCTACATAAGCTAAACCTCTCTTTACAGGTTTTATTTATTTATTTATTTATTTATTTATTTATTTATTTATATCTTAGCTAATGTCGACTGAGGGCCTGGTGGAGGTGGGGAGGAAAGAGTCTGGCCTGCCCCACTGAAGCCTCTGCAGTGGGGTCAGGGAGGAAGATGGCTGCACTCGGGAGGGTGTGGCTATAAGTTTGCAGGCTGGCGAACACTGCTCAATTCACAGACTTCTTTTACTGTGCCAGGAACATAGTAGGCAAAGCCCCAGACCATGTCCAGACTTGGTAGGCCTGGTACCACTATATGTCAAGGTAAAGATCAGGTTGGAATTGCCAAGTCTAGGAGCAAACCTGTGTTCTGGATTTTTGTTGTTGTTTTGTTTTGTTCTCGTTTTCAAGACAAGGTCTTTAGCCCAGGCTTACCTGGAGCTCACTAAGTAGCCCAAAGCTGGCCTCAGTTCCAGGCAGTCCTCCTGCCTCAGCCTTCCTAGCTCTGAAGCCAATGTTCGGATCCGGTTTTTTTACCTGACTGGCGGGGATGCAGTGATAGAGGGTAGGTGGGTGACCCAGGGCTTTGCTGTTTGGGGAGTGATAAGGCTGTGGTAGATTAGTATCAAGCTTGTGGAGCTTTGAGTGGGCTGAGGATCTGTTTGAGCCTGAGAATGTTTTCCTTGTGGGTTCAGTACAAAACTTTTAAGCTTTTGGAAGAGGTGTATTTGTGGACCAAGTGTGCATGCCCGAAACTCTCCTCTGGGAGGAGAACTTGAGCTCCAGGGACACCTTGGAAAGGACAGTCCTGGTCTCCAGGAAGGGCAGAGATGTGGGTTGCTCTAACCTTTGCTCAGCTTGGGTGAAGGGGCACCAGAGTTAGAGGTCAGAAGAAAAACTTGCCTTAAAAGGGATCTGGCTGCAGCTGATAGTCCCTATCTTTCAGGCAATCTGGGAAACATTCCTGGTTAAGACCTGCTTTCTCCTCTACCTAGTTCCTTTTACACCCTCTCCTAGATTCTGAATTTGGAAGCTGGGCGGTGCTACTGAGGAAGGTGGTCTGTCACTTTAAATCCAATGAGCATTTTCAGTGTATATGCCAAATGTCATGTTTACACAGAACCTCCAGATTGTCACACTGCCAGGGCTGAGGCCACAGGGGAAGAGGTGTGGTCCATAACTTGTTCTTAGTTTGTGGCAGGATGGGGATATTGCTACAGGCAATGAGTAAGGGGCTAGAAGAAAATTTGGAATGGTGGTGACTTAGTCGGACCCAGAAGGAAGGGTGGAACTAGCTGATGGAGAGGATAGGGACTAGACCCACAGTGGAGTCTTTTCCATTCCAGCTCATCATACCTCAAACAAGTCTGCCTGTGACTCTCTTCCTGCCCACCCTGCCTTAATGCCGGCTCTTTGCTCTTACGAAGGTATCTCTGGCCTCCTATCATATTGCTGATCGTATTGCTGTCCCTAGCAGTAAGTCTGGCTAGTAGAAGTGTAGGTTTCAGAGGGCTGAGGTTGCAGGGAGGCCAGAGATACCTTTGTAAGAGAAAAGGGCCTGCATTAAGGCAGGGTGGGCAGGAAGAGAGTCACAGGCAGACTTGTTTGAGGTATGATGAGCTGGAATGGAAAAGCGAGAGAAGAAGGTATATGGACAGTGAGGGAGACTGGAGGTGTAGCCCAGCCATAGAGCGCTT